TGAGAAGGCAAAAATATTTCTACAACTTATTCAAACTGGGTGGCCCATGAACTCCTGCATCATTAATAGTTTATACCTACAGCAGGGATAAATGAGTCTGTGTAGCTGAACAGCTCGATCTATCAGCTCAATCTGGCAGCGCAGCTTCACCGTGACACAAGACAGTGCAGTCATATCTTCCCTACAGGTTTATGGAACAAACCTACTTTATACAAGTGAGATAGGAACATGATACGCTGTCCTATGAAGCAACAAAGTGTGTCATTTTAGGTGGTGCAGAGCCTCGCAGATGCTTCCCTAACTTCACGGACGCAGAATAATAAAATCAAGATTGTGTGTGTGTGTGTGTGTGTGTGTGTGTGTGTGTGAGTGAAGTGCTGAAGTGCCATTTGAGTGTGCGTTTAATTATTGTAACCCTCAATCCTAAATGGCAACAGTTTACGTGGCTGCAATGTCATTTAAATTCAATCACTGTCTTAACCGGGTCATTATCGCAGGGTGCCGATCGCCTCCAGCAACCTTTACCGAGCCGCCATCATTTACATTCAGAATTTCACAGTGATACAAAGGACAGGTAATCACCAGGTCTCTGATGTCATTAGAGAGAGAGAGTATGTGTGAGTGTGTGTGTGTGTGTGTGTGTGTGTGTATATTATTGGCCCTTTGATATTTTCAATTTACATCGTACCTCCAGGTGAAGTAATTTCCAATATTTCCTTTTATTCTTACACTGATGACACACTGAATCTATCAGACCTCTCCTCTTACTCACATACATACATTAAAGGAATACTTTGACACTTTGGGAAATGCACTAATTTCCTTTCTTTGCTTTTTAAGTTTTCACTTCTCCATTAAAATATCAATATAGACCTGATGGATTGGCACAACATCTTGTGCAGACATTTATTTTTCCCAGATGATGAATCCTACTCACTTTGGTGATCTGCTGACTTTGGCACCATCATGATGTTGACATGTGCGGTTTTAAGTGAAATGTCTCAACCACTCTAAGATGGATTGCCATAAACTATGATGCAGACAATCATGTTCCCCTAATGATGAATTGTAATAACTTAAGTGACCCTTCTATTTTTTTTAACATTTCAGTTTGTTTGATACTTTTGTGGCCAGATTCCTGCAAAAATAACATTCCCATCAGTTGTGCTTTGTGTGTGGTGATAATTAGCAAATGTTAGCATGCTAACGAGTAAAACAAAGATGGTCAGCAGTATACCTACTAGACATCAACATGTAAGCATTGTCACTATGAGCATATTAGCATGCTAACATCGGGATTTAGCTCCAAGCTGCACTGTGCCTATGTATGGCCTCACAGAGCTGGCCGCATGGCTGTGGACTGTTATGCTGCATTTCCACTGCATGCTACGGCACACTTCTAATCAACCTACTGTTTTTAGGTTTTCCAAAGTAGTGGATAGTGCCTGGTAATAATTTTTGGTACCACCTTACTTGAGGTTCCAAGCAAACTGAGCCAATACATCACTTCTGAGGACATCCTGCACAACAAAGTAACAAAGTAATTTTCCACTTTTAAACCTCTGTGACTTTGTCATTTGTAGATTTTTTTTTATTAAAGAAACAAAATAATAAATGTATGTAGCATGACAATCTTTTTGTCTCTCTCCTATCCCATTAATCATCTGATGACCCATCACATTAATCTTGTGACCCACAGACTGAACCACCAGCCTCAATGCCCCCCGCAAAAAAGGCCCAGAGCCAAAAAACATTTTAGCAACATAACAGAGTCAGTCATCTGTCAGCCTAGGAGCATCTCTAAAATTGCATCATTCTTTTCATTTCCAGATACACAAACCCTTCTTGTCTTTGTTTCCAGCAACTGGATTACTGTCACTCGTTATTGGCCCCAAAAATCAATTAACTACCTTCCGTTTGAACAAAGTGCAACCACCAGGAAAGGTAACTCACATAATCTGGAAAAATCGCAGAGCATTGCCTCCATGTTGACCTCTCCGCACTGGTCACCTGTGGCCTTTAGAAATGATGTTAAGGTTTTACGGCTTGTTTTTAAGGCAGAGTCACGACTTGCCTCAGGCTGGAGACACAGGGTGGCGAGTCATTTAACATCAGCAGGTTGAGATTTTACACACAAAACATAATTAAACGATGCAACATTATTCAGAATAGCTCCACCCCCACCAACTACAACAGCAAAGATGCTGATGCTCACACAACACATAAGTAAAATTACTAATATATTACATTTAACGATTTAACTCTCACAGTTGCAATTGTTTTGCAGTAGCCTACTTTTATTTGTGATACTGTAAGTACTTTTAACCAATGTTGATTACATACCTTTACTTAGTGCCTAGTGGAGTTTTCTTGTGAACTAACTGTCATGATCCTGGGGTTGTTTATATTCTGTTATCCTATGGACTTTGTTTTGGAGTTTTCTGTTTTACGTTCCTTGTTTCCCGTAATTAATTCATGTTTAATCTGCCTCCTGTTTTATTTTGTAGATGTCTGGTTTTACTTCCTGTCTTTGTGTGTTTTCCCGCCTGTTTTCTGTCACACCTCTCTCATTAGTTCTTCCCTGTTCCAGAGTCTTCTCTTTACGCCTATTCTATATCATTCTTGTTTGCTCCACCCTATAGTGTTCCCCTCCACACCCTTGTTGTTAGCCAGTCTCCATTTCCTTCCTTTTGCCCCCTTGTCTTCCTACTTCAGCTGTGTGTCGGTCTTGTGATTAGTTTTCTATGTATAGCTACCTGTGTGTTTCCCTTTGTTCTTTGTCAGTTCATCTGTGTTCATCCTGCATCCATCCCAGGATTCATTCCCGTGTTGATTCCTGTGCTCTCCCCCCGTGCTCTTGGTGTCATTTCCTGTGTGGTGTTCTGCTTGGAGTTTAGATTTGAGTTCATCATATTATTCTAGTTGGTTTTCGAATTAGTTTTGGTTCTGCTTTTATTTGTATTTTTAGTTACCTGCCTGTACCTAGTGTTTTCTATCAGCTGCATTAAAGCTCGCATTTTGTTAAAAATTCAACCTGCCTGCCTGTCCTTCTTGAACTGATAGCCTACATGACACAAACCTTTAGTGTCACTCATCAAAAGGCATTCTGTGTATCCTTGAGCTCTAACAAACATGTCAAATCCATTTCTTAAAAGTCTGAAACCTATCCAAGTGGATATAAAAATCTATCAATGCGATTTTTAGTTAAATTTTAAATTTTACTGTTCCCTTTCTTATAATCAGTTAGATATTTCAATATTTTGTATTACTCTTGCACATTTTGATGTAACTTTCTTTATCTGTTTTATCACTTATTGTGGACTGCTTTGGAAAAAACCCAATTAATAATGTCAGGTAATGAATTTGGAAGGCAATTTGTAAGAACTGATATGCAAAAAAAGGCTCATGGTATTCTCAAAGGGATGAAATGTTAACAAAGAGCAAGAAAAATAAAGACAGAAATTAAGAGTGTAAATGTGAATGTGTGTACACTATATCGCTCCTGCCATGATGCAATTACAGTGATACAGCAGATCAATAAGTGGCATTATGTCCATCCTGCTGTCAAGGGTAGAACAATCTATAATGAAAAGGCAGAGAGGATAAAATTAGCACCTTTAGAGTCTCTGGAGGAAGCAGTTAATAAAGGAAAGGACAACACAGGATCAGTGATGCGTCACAAAGCCGAACCCTTCACCATGATTTAGAGTGGTGAACTCTGAGGTGAGCACAGAGAAGAAATGCCTCCATGATGGCATTAAATCAAAGTTCAAATAAGGATGAAACAGAATTAAATAGAAATGTCCTTCACCCTGAATTGTCTGCATTACTAAAAATTTCAAACGGGTGCATATGCACAAGCAGAAATAATATTAATGCTTTCTCTTTGCCGCTGTCTGTCTGGAACCAAAGGCAGCAGAGCCTAGTGGGTGTCCAGTGTTAATGGAGTCACAGGAGACACCGTTGGATCTTTTCTTTTCTTTATTGAATATTTTCAATAATATCACCAGTTGCTCCACTTGATAGAAGTTCTGAGATTTATGATTAACATGTTGTGAATTGTCTTATTGGGGCACCAAAACAGAGCAAAAAAAGCAAAGGTTAATATGGCTTAAGTCTGGAATATCAAACCACTACACAGAAGAGCCAATAATGGGTTAAATGGGATGCTGATCATTAACAATCAAGACCAATGAATCATCCATCAGTTAATGCTTATCAATTCACACATGTCAGACAACAGTGAGGGCAGCAGGTCAATATCTGCAGGAAACTGCCTCTCATTTTGACTTTTTGTGTTTGTGAGAGCATTTACATCTTGGAAATGACTTAAGTTGCCATGAATGTGCAGTAAGTTATATATGACTTTATTTTTCCATTGGAATTTGTGTGTAATGCTGCATCAGTAATACAATAAAATTAAAGCACTCTAAACAATAAAAAATAGTACATACCTTGTTTAAATACCGGTATTAAATGTAGGCTATCTGAATGGACCCCTCAAGGACATATAACTGGACATAATTAAACATTTAAGAAATATGCATATAAAGTGAACAGTGTTGCCCTGTAATACACACAACAAAAAAGCACAAGAAGAACAATTATATATATGTATATACACACATTTTATTATTATTTTATTTGATTATCATTTTATTATTATTATTATTATCATTATTATTATTATCATCATTATTTATTGCTCTAAGGTTTTAGTGATGTGTTTGTTGTTTGACCAGAAAATGACCAGTGCTTGGATTAATGCTACAGCATCTTTTAAAAGATCAGTTTTTCTGGTTATCAGTGGACAAAATAATATGAAATGACCCTCGTCACCTTTAAAATTGAAAGGCTACCACAGCAAAATGTAGCACTGGTTCGTTCTGTACACATACAGGGGAAAAGCTACTTTAAAAAAAAATAAACAACCATTATACAATAAACCTCATCATGTCAACCGTGAAGATCCATAACCTGTGTGTTGCGCGTGGACTCACCGTCTCCCACACCGCCAGCTGCAGGATCAGAACCATGAGAAGTAATGTGGCCATCCGTTTCAGCCACGGGCATCCAGAGGTGAATGCACTGCTCAGTAACATTCTTGTTCACTTTGAAAACTACGCGCAAAATAGTAGAAGTACGTCCGAGGATAGTATCAATCTTCGAGGATAAGAAATTACTTCCTTTTAAAATTTCCGACCATCCATGAACTGAGCCGCTCGTTGGCCGTTTCCCGATGTGGATGTTGTCGGGTATCTCTTCGGTGTCCCAAGCAGGAGAAGGTCCGCATTACGCGCGGAGGAGAGCCGGGACCCGACTGAGCCAAACAAGGTGCGCTCCTCCCTGAAAAGGCAGAGGGACGGAGCGGAGCGCACAGACGCAGCAGCGGCGCAGAGCTGCGCTCTCACACCAGGGAAGACAGGATGTGGAGTCAGTCACACTCATAAAACTAACCTTATAAATAGACATACTTTACAGTAGTTTATCTCCTGTCTTAGACATAGGCTATGAAAGATAGCCTAAGTCTTTGTTTATTAGACTATATATCAAAATGCATGATACCCTACATCTTTGCTGAATGTTATCGATTTGAAAGGCTCAAATAGACAAAGGAATCACTATGAAAAAACATCCAGTAAATGGACCCCAAGTCACCATCTTATTTTGTTTACATTTATTTATTTGTGTGTTTGTTAGACCACTGTTTCCACAGTCTAAAAAAATATGCTAGTTTTCCAATATGGTTTCATGTAAATATGTTCAAAGCATTTTTGGAGAAATTTTCTCCCACAAAATGGTTATATCCATGACCCCATGGTCTGAAAAGGCCATGTTGGGGGAATAAGAGTGAGTTTATGTCACTTTTGAAATAAGAAATAGCACAACTGTCATTTTATAAAAGCAAAGTCGGATTCGTAAGACATTAATCAGTCTATTTAAAACACATATATATAGTGGTTTTTACAGTAAGCTACAGCTCTTCTTGGTCTGGTATGACCATCACAGTGGCTGATGTTACCAAACTGTTGGATGTTATTCTGTAGAGTTTTGTTTTCTTTTGTGCAGTGTAAATATTGAATCCATTTAGTCCATTTCATCACACAAATAAGATGATGTTTACACCTGTGTGTGTGTGTGTGTGTGTGTGTGTGTGTGTGTGTGTGTGTGTTGTATTACAGTAGATGTGCCCATGCAGTTATGTTTCACTACTCAGAACACTTAATATAAACAGTTAGAATAAACATAGACAGTGCAGAATGATAGCAGCCAATGGAGCAGCAGTGTGTTTGTGTGTGTGTGTGAGTGTGCAGCAGGCATCTTGCACCTTGCAGAGGTCGATGGATGACAGACGGTGCCTTTGGCTTTTCCACCAGACCACCAACAATGAATTTCCTGCAGACAGCAGCACCTGTGAACAGAGAGAAGAGTGGGGGTGGCACTCTCTGATACAGGGATTAGGCTGCACATGTTATTAGTTTACACTTGTGCTTCATGAATATTGCGAGGCTGCGTTCTGGCCCCTGAACAAGGCTCAGAATAATGATGTGTGTGTTTATGCATGTGTTTACTTTGCTGTGTATTCCTAATGTTATGGGAACAAAAGCCAGTGTCCCAAAAAATAAACCATTTATTCTAAGATTAGGATTTGCTCTGAGGCCTACAATTCCTCAAACCTAAATGACAAAACAGGCTGTTTGATTTAAGAAATGGCTCATAACTTTCCAAAAACAACTCATATGAGCATTTTCTGATCCGCCACCTCTATGGTTGAGGTTTTATTGTATGCCATCACTGACACTGTGAAGCTTAGCCACTGTATGGTGATATTTAGTAGATAATAATAATATAATAATAAAATCATTGGAGGCTGTTATTATCGTCTTTATGAGGTGATGGCATGCTCGTTTTTTATACTAGCAAAGTTGTCTTGTGAAACTAGAAAACCTAATGCATTTCATATCAACTGTGTCAGCTTATCAGGAACGGGACTAAATAAAGCTCCAAAGATAGGCTAAATTTTGATGAGGGAACAGCTGAATATAAAAAGAGCAGTCGCGCACATCCAAAAAATGAAGAAGGTGCTGGACTAAAAGAATTAAACTAAACAAACAAAGAAAAGTCCGCACACTTCAACTCCCTTTTTAGGTCCATTTATTCCATCATCATGGAGAGGGAACAGCTGGCATGGCCATTCTTAAAGGGATCACTTGAACTCTCACCTCAAGATATCTGATTGAAAATGTATTCTATTGGTACCCACGAGTCTCCTCCTAACTTATGAGGGTTTTTACCTGTAAATATTTTGAATGTATTCCTTCAAATTAAAACTGTATTATTTTCTTTTTTAGGAACAGGACAACCAGCCTACTTGAACAACAATGAAACAGATTGCTGTGGAACTCAAAATGTTAACTGTACTGGTATAGCATATCAGATAATTAGTTATATTAGGCCTAACTGTAAAATAAGAAACCAAGGTGTATCGGTACACGATTGCTTAAAGGAGCAATAAGCGAAATTCATCATTTCTAGATTGAAGGAATTAAAAAATTGCTATGTGAAGAACTAGAGGTGTAATTTCATCTAGAGTATAGCATGACCTCACACACCCTCTCTCTGTGTTGATCTCCAGCCCATTGTTTACAAGCCGGTCCGGCTGCGCGTTCATGTACGTTCATGTGAAATCAACAAACAATCTGACTCGGAGCTAGCTCTTCTTCTCCTGGACAGGTACAACATAAAGTCAAATGTCTGTTTTAATTAGTGTTACAGTAACGTTAGGCACATGTCGCTATGTCAATTCAATTAAATGTAATGTTACAATCGTAGCATGGGTTAATGTCCGTAGCTTGAGTTATTAGCAGCTCGGTCCCAGCAATGGGTCAGACGTTTCGGTTGTGTTAGGTGAGTAGCCCGGCAGCCCAGCTAACATTTGCAATTAGCCTTGTAAAATGTAGCCTGGCGGGCAGCCTGGTGGCTGTGTTTAGCTATTTCCCTGCCTACTTCAATGATGATGGTACATGTAATAAATGTAATATATTTGCTGAAATGGAGGCGAGGCTCAGTGACTAGAAGAGCTGGTAGAAGCTCTCCATAGCTGCAACCTACTCCAGTAGCCGTAGTAGCTCTAGTGCTAACTCTGGGAGCTAACGCTAACATTCTCTCTTCTCCGTGAGCCGGGATCCTGTGAGCGTCTCACGGAGAAGAGTTGGAACATTAGCAAGGCAGCCGACTAGTGCTAATGCTAACGTCCCCACGCTTAAACAGGCTCCCGGAACGTTAGCATGGCAGCCAACTAGTGCTAATGCTAACGTCCCCACGCTAGAGCTCGCCGGAGCCAAGAAGCAGGCTCCCGGAACGTTAGCATAGCAGCCGACTAGTGCTAACGCTAACATCCCCAGGCTTCTCGGCTCCGACTCACTGAGCCTGGCGGAGAAGCGTGGGGACGTTAGCCCTAATTTGCTGCCATGCTAACGTTCAAACTCTTCTCCGTGAGACCGTGAGCCTGGCTCCCGGCTCAGTTGGAATTGGAGCGTTAGCGTGGCAGCCGAGTAGTGCTAACGCTAACAGGAAAGCAGGGAAATAGCTAAACACAGCAGAGACCGAGAGTGAGTGAAAAACATCGCTAACTGCTAAACTAAGTTGGCGGTTTTATTTCCTCGCCCCTGTGGCGAGTGAATCTGCCTGCAGTGAAAGCGGGGGCTAACTGGTGCTTCCTCCTCATGCTCCACTTCACTCAGCTGCCAACACAGCCAGTTAGCCTCTGCTAGCTTCCCAGCTAGCGGCTCTCCATTTGGATCCAACCGTAGCACCAAGCCCTGGTTTGTTATTCAGGTTAATGTGGGAAGAAGCAGCGGGTATATCGGGCAGCTGAGTGAAGTTAAGTGAAGCGGAGCCTGCGGAAGAAACACCGGGACCGTCTGGAGGTGATAGTCCGTGGAGATGCTGNGGGCGCCGGGGGCGGGCGCGGGGGGGGGGGGGGGGGGGGGGGGGGGGGGGGGGGGGGGTTGTTGGAGAGCAGAGGTAGATGGAGGAATGGCTCCTGACACACTTTGTTTTGCTCTACAGGCAGTGCACAACAGCGAACCTAGTGGTGAAACGATTTCGCTTATTGCCCCTTTAACTCTCTTTTAAACTAGCCTATATACTTCAACAGCTTAAGCAAATTCCTGAAATTCAGTTGTCTTTTGGTTTTGGTGTGCCACCCCAAGATTTTCAGTGGCCTCATCTAGCCACCACTATGAAAAATCTCTGGGCATGCCACTGGTTTTTCAAGGCACTGTAAATAGTCAAGGTCACAAGGTCCTGATTACCCTGGAAATCCAGAGTTCTCACGAGAGCACAATTTGAATTTGCTCAGCGAGTCACTCTGCAATCAGTAATGATGCTCATTACCCATGCCGCTGGAGCCGAGCTGCACCAATCACATCGGTGTATCTGATATAGGCAGGCCAGAGGCGAGCTAAACAGATGACGACAGCGCTGCAACGACGAAGTCCGGAATGAGTCAGTAAACAGTGCAAGATGGCTACGGATGAACACCAGTTGTTTGAAACGGCTTTGGCCGCTACAATGAACGAGTTAGACTTGGCTTTTTCTCTCTGGTCGTAGTGTTATCCAATTGCGTGCAGTGATATTTTCAAATGCACGCTTGGTGCCGCCCCTTGAGTTGGGCCATTTGCATTACTCATAGCCAGACCCTAAATCTTTCTAGATTTGGGTCTGGATTTGCAGGCTAGGTCCTGATTGCAACTTTAGTTCAAAATCTTTGGGGGGTTCATAAACTATACATTTTCAGAAAGTTTAGAGTGTGATGAACCCAAACCAATGTTTCCATTTTTTTTCAAAGTTTCTGTGGTGGCTATCTTGGACTTTCAAAATGGCAACCACTCATAACATGTTTTTAGCTGAATAGCTCATGATAAATTAAAGGGGCATCTGACTTATGTGGCTAATTGCATATTTTTTAAGCCCAAGAAACAAAAAGGACCATTTGCAACACACTTAAGAGAGAGACTGATGCTGTACCTGCATATAATGTTTTGTATTAGGTGAATAATGCTGTATCTCTTGTTGCTGTATGTCTTATTACAACACTTAAGCCCTGTACATACAGGGAACAGAGAACAGAGAAATTTGTTCTTTTTCTCGAGGTGGCAAGAACAAGAACAAAGTTCTTTCTGGCCAGGACATTTCATACTTCACAAGAAACTCAAGTGCAGAACGCCTGGGAAGTCCTCACAGGCCCCTCCAACTGCCGCTTTTCCGCATTAACCACGCCAACTTCAAATTTCTGACAAATCACACAATAGTTCTCAAACACCACA